CCCCCACCACCTTTGGGCTCTGTATGCCTCACATCAGTACCGATCCTTAGAAAGTCAAATTTTCACTTACTCAGATCTACCAAGAGTCCCCAGTGCCTTGCTATACGAAAACCCCACAAACGGCAGTTCTTCGCCCGAGAAACCTGAGAGGTTCAGCTGGCACGGAGAGGATGAAACCCCCGAATTCTTCTCTGGTTCATCAAAATTGGAGGTGTCATCATCAGACTTGAGGGTGGGAACGAAGGGGGGAGGAGCTGGTTAAAGAAAAACAAGAAGAGAGGGAGAGAAAAATTCAGACGGATTCAACACTGTTGCGGAGAAAATCGTCTTGCTCCTTCAGCACTGCAGCGTCTAGCTCCCACAGGCAGACCCAGCCTTGGCTCTGACAGCAACAAGAGATTAACCCCTTCTCTGCCAACATGGCCACCAGCCGGCAGACAGGCTGCCTTCCCCGAGGGGGGGGGTAAACTGAAGGAGAAACTCAAACAGGTCACTTAGTGGAACAAAAGCACTTTGGGGAACTCATGGGAGCCGGCTGTTCATTCCGGATATTTCCAGAACGCTTCAACAGAGCATCAGGCTGGCTGGTGCCAGCGGCTGACCCACACCTATGTATTTCTTCCTCTGGACAGCTCTAAATCATCAATATTTAATGTTAATCATTGAAATAAGATGGCATTTCTACATTTCATGCAATGAAATGAGAGAAAGGAGCAGGAAAGAGGACCTGGGAGGCATGTAACTCACGTTAGGATAGCACTGCAGTCTAGCTCATTCATAGCCAGAGGAGAGTGCTCAGAGCTCTTATCAACCACTTTTTTTTTTTTTAGTTCATTATCATCCCTCCTCCCCACCTCAGTCAGCCGCCCAAATTCACCGCAGTTTAATCAGCATAATGAAACACCAGCCAAATAAAGTTCTTCCCGATGATTTACAGCACCCCTGCCCCCTGATGGTGTAAATGCACCGATGGACGTCTGCGTCCTACCTCGTTAAGGCATGACTCCAGGCTAGGGGCATCTTACATCTTCTCCACTTTCTGCAGACCTACTAAGCTCTCTTGGTCAGGGAGGGGGACACTCGGCCATCAGTCACCAGGAGGCTGCCCATTGTGGTGGGCTCCGGGGGGTGTAGCGGGCCAGAAGCGTTACCATAGCTGCAGGCTGAGGCGTCTGTGGCAAGCCGGCCGGTTGAGTTGGGGAGCCGGGCATCACAGCCCCCGCAGTGCAGGCTTCATGCTCCCCACTCTGTGCGTGCTCTGGCTGGAACCCCACCTGGCCGCCTGCGTGGCAGGGGCCAGTGCTGATCCAAGTGACAGAGCAGCATGACTCACTGCCGGAGCTCGCTACAGCGCCCCCTAGGACCCTTGTCACGGCCGGTCACAGTCCAGGCTTCCTTTTTAACCCCTTGTTTTCTGAAGCAGCTGTGCACCAGACAGAAGCAGCAGTCTGGTTTCTGCTTACAGACTCAAAAGAATCTGGCTGTTTGCAAAGTACCCCAGTGACAACCACATCGAAGCAGTAGTGCTGGGGAGTGAATGGAGAGGTGAAGGGATGGTGTGGAGGGGGAGGGAAGGAAGCCACAAGGAGGAGGTCTGGCTCCTCCTGGGAAGAGCAAAGGAGCATTCGCAGGGCTTCAAGTGCACTGAGACGAGGTAAGAGATTGAAAACGTAAAATGCACTACCAGGAAATTATTTAACACCTCCAAGCCTCAAGAGAATTTAAAGCTTCCCTCTTAGTATCAGAATCTACTTGCTTAATACTTTAAAAATTAGCTGATGGAAAGAAAAATTACATTGAATGCTTCAGCCCACATCCTGTGTGTACTTCCATCAACACAGACTAAAATCCAATCTGATTTCAACTACCCAATACTTTAAGAAAAAAAAAATAATAATGGAAATTACATTTCATAAGGATCAGAAAGAGAAGTTTTCCATCTCAAAAAACTCAGATAAAGACTGAGGAAATGTATGCAGTTTCACAGATGATACAAATATGGAAGCGTTATGACTGATGGCACATTACTTGGGGATCTGAGTGGGTTCAAATCCCAGCTCTACCACTTACCAGCTCTGTGACTTCGGGAAAGTCACTTAACCTCTCTGAGCCTCATTTCCAACATAGAGATAAATTCCTCAAAGGGCTGTTGGGAGGTTTAAATGGAAAAAAAAAAATCTATATAAAGTGCTTAGCATATTCCTTAGCACACAGTAAACACTTCATAAAAATCACCTATTATTGTTATTGCTCACATGAGATTCATGTTTATGACAGATCTTGCAATTAGTGAAGGCTGGTGAGATACAGCCCAATCTGTGTTGAATCTTCTTCTTCCGTGCTCAAAGCACGCACACACTCATGTGGATATTTGTGTTTATCATATCATCTTATTTCTAGCAGAAGTTTAATTCCCTTTCCACTATATACTAATTTATCTTTGGGAGACTAAAATAGAATCCCATATGATTAATATAGGGGTAGGAGCCACCCTCTGTGAAATAATTATGATTTAGAAATTCTGTACTATAAAATAAGATTTCTCTTGAAAACTCCATCATGCTCAAAGCCAGCCCATATGGTCGCGATTAGAAAAACGGCCAGACAATCTTCAATAGAAGGAAGGAAAAATCAACATGAAATACACCAGCTGGTAACAGGTGAGATAGTCACAGGATGGACTGAAAGCCAGGGATATAAACCTCTAGACAGGTAGTCAGTTGACCTCAACAGTAAGGTCTGAAAAGAAGGGCTTATAGGAGCACCTGGGTGGTTCAGTCGGTTAAGCATCTGACTCTCGATTTCAGCTCAGGTCCTGATTTCAGGGACGTGAGCTCAAGCCCCGCACTGGGCCCTGCACTCAGCTGGGAGTCTGCTTGAGATTCTTTCCCTTAGCCCCTCCCCCTGCTCACACTCTCTCTCTCACTAAAATAAATAAATAAATCTTAAAAAAAAGGACTTATAAGGGCCACATTTGGGCAGGAAAAGAGCCACAGCCTCAAGCCAAAAAGAAATGGACAAACTGGAAATTCTCTACCCACCAGAAAGTGACAAGGATGCACACCCTTGACCAGGACCCGTTGGGGGAAAGAAACAGGCTGGCGATTAAAACTGTAATCCCAGCTAGGGTGTCTGCATTTATAGTATCCTGTATAGGGTGGGAACTACAAAACAAGAAATTTGGGGCGCCTGGGTGGCTCAGTCAGTTAAGGTCTGCCTTCGGTTCAGGTCATGATCCCAGGGTCCTGGGATCGAGCCTCACATCGGGCTCCCTGCTCAGCAGAGAGCCTGCTTCTCCCTCTCCCTCTGCCTGCCTGCCGCTCCCCCTGCTTGTGCACTCTCTCTCACTATCTCTCTCTGTCAAATAAATAAATAAAAAATCTTAAAAAACAAACAAATAAGAAATTAACATCAATACTGGCCTAGGATCACTGAGCCCTTAGGGCACTGGCAGACACAAAAGGAGAACATCTTGTGGAAGCACTTCCACAATCCAGGGCACATGGGACAGACAAACCAACAGACACACACACACACACGCCCTATTTGAAAGGAATTCACACACAAAAAAGTAAAAACCAACAACTACACATAACGAGGAAAAAGAAGCCACCCAAACTACCATGGAGGACCATCATCACATATAAGAAATGGGAAAATTAGCCTTCCAAAAACTGCAGATAAAAGAACAACCTAAATGGGCCATAAAAGGGGTGCCTGGGTGGCTCAGTTGGTTAAGTGACTGCCTTCGGCTCAGGTCATGATCCTGGAGTCCCGGGATCGAGTCCCACATTGGGCTCCCTGCCCAGCAGGGAGTCTCCTTCTCCCTCTGACCCTCTTCCCTCTCATGCTGTCTCTCATTCTCTCTCTCTCAAATAAATAAAATCTTAAAAAAAAAATTTTTTTAATAAATAAATAAAATAAAATGGGCCATAAAATTAATTTATTATCAAGGTAAATAAGTAGAAGCTCTAATAAAAGAATAGGATACTCTGAAAAAAGGACCACACACATTTGAAAGGAACCAAACAGAACTTTAAAAATGAAAAGTACTGTTATTGAATTTGAAGTTTAAAACTCCCTGAATGCATTAAATAGAAGATTAGACACAGCCAAAGAGAAAGTTAGTGAAGTAGCGTTAGATCTGAAGAAATCACATAGAATCATACTTCTCAAAGTGTTATGTGTAGACTGGCAGCATCAGCATCACCTGGGAGTTGGTTAGAAATACAGAATCTCTGGGGCGCCAGGGTGGCTCAGTCGGTTAACTGTCTGCGTTCAGCTCAGATCATGATCTCAGGGTCCTGGGATCCAACTCTGCGTTGGCTCCATGCTCAGCAGGGAGTATGCTTCTCCCACTCCCTCTGCCCCTCCCCCCACTCATGCTCTCTAATAAATAAATAAAATGTTTAAAAAAAAATACAGAATTTCTGGCTCTGCCCCCCATCCACTGAATCAGAACCTGCATTGTAACAAGATCTGCAGTTGGAGAAGTGCTCACATGGAATGCAGCACAGAGACAAAGAGACAAGACATAAGAGGTCAGGAGACAAAGAATGAGAAGGTTCAATACATATCTTAACAGGTGCACCAGAAAGAGAGAGTGGACTAGCTCAAAATCTGGATGCCACATTTTGAAAGGATTATGGGAAACTTGGTCAAATCCAAGACTACCAAGTATATGACCACACCTATCTTTGGGGGCTCATTCTCCTCCTTCTTGTACCTTTTTATGGAAAATGTTCCTTTTTTGCTCCTCATAAAATACAATTTTTCTGAGCAGCCTGGATGGCTCTGTTGGTTGAGCATCCGACTCTTGGTTTTGGCTCAGGTCATGATCTCGCAACTGTGAATCAAGCCCTGCTTCAGGCTCGGCGCTCAGTGCAGAGTCAGTCTGCTTCAGATTCTCACTCCCTCTCCCTCCCGTTCACTCTCTCTTTCCCAAATGAATAAAATCTTTTTTAAAATGTAATTCTTCTCCTTTACAAAGGGTATTAATAGGTCATTGGGTTTAAGCCTATGTTGATGGAGATACACATTATATCTGAGAACATAGCAGAGTGCCAGGCATACTGTAGGTGCACAATAAATATTTGCCGAACAGATGTATAGAAAGTGACTCTTGAAAAGAGAGCACCTAGCATAATTAAGGCCACGGAGAAATTACTTGATGTTTGAGTTAAATGAAGAGGCTTTAAAAGTGGAGATTGTTCTGTCTGAAAAATATGTTAATGAGTGCCTTGTATTAATATTT